GGGTTGACTGGTCTAAGGTTCATGACCTAGCCTGAGGGGGCTAGGCTTGTTGAGTATTGGTGAGAGCCCATGGTCTAAGGCAAGGCGACCAGTGGGCACCCTGTGCAGGCTGAGTGAGGCAGCCCACATTGAGTTGACTACAACCCGACTAGATGGAAATTTTTGAGGCTGTGAACTGGTGCATATTGTTGCTGACTTTATGGATGGCCTGTCCGGATTTGACTTTGCTTATAGATGCAGACGTCACAAGGTTCCAACTGGAATGAAGACACTTCATGTGGAAAAATATGACTGTCTTCTCAGAGAACTGGCTTGATGTAAGTGGGCAGTATATAAACTGGATACCAAAAACTGGGGGGGGATAAAGGCATGAAGTGGTTGGCTTATAAACTTTCAGAGGTGGGGGAACATATTCACAGGACTTGTGACTGTGACAGAGGTCTTCCCAGGCCTGCTGCTGGGTGGGTTCAAACTGCCCGATTCACCACTCCACCACCAGGGCTCTTTGCATGATTCCCAGAGCACAAGCCATCAGACCCCAGGGGCCCCCATCTCCCTAGAGCCACCACTGAAAACTGCAGCTGTGGGGGAGGGGCTGGTCCTCTGCAGTTAGAAAGCCCGCCCTGGGCCCAAAGCCCCTGCTCCAGCCTGGACCAGGGCTCTTCAGAGCTCCCCGTTGCCCTCCAGGGGTCCCTCGATCCTGGGTGACCACACATGGCCTCCCGATGCAGTCTTCTGGCCCCACTGTCGTGTGTACCGGATGCTCCTTGGATGGGGAGCACAATGGGCACAGGGAATAAAGGACATTCTGAGGTCACCTGTGGATCGGCGTGAACCTTGTTGTCTCTGTGCATGGCCCTTCGTCCCTCTGGGTCCCTCTTGCTCCCCTCCACGTGGCCACCGCTGCATGCAGTGAGCTGCCCTCCTGATTGCTCCTTGGTGGCACATTGGTCAAGCATTTGACTGCTAACCCAGGTCAGAGGCTCGAATGACTCAGTGGTTCCCATTAGGAAAGCCCTGGCAATGGGGCCGTGCGAGGGTGACAGCAAGCAGACCCCACAGGGGCAGCCCAGCTGTCACACAGGGTCACTGTGAGTCAGCATCCCCACAACAACCCCCAGCAGTGCAATGACTAGGACCTATTCTGCCTGCGGCTTAAAACGTGTCTTGAAGCCCTTGAGCTACTCGGCTCCCTAAAAGTCACAGGACAATTGTGTCATAAAAATGCATCCCCGGGCCCTGAAATAACTGTGGAATCTGCCATCTAAGAAAAGTAGCAAAGCCAAACCCATGCCATCGAGTTGACTCCTCTCACAGAGACACACAAATGAACAAACTCGCTGCCCTGGGTTCTGTTCCGACTCAGAGCGCCCCCAGGAGACCCCAGCGTGGAACTGCCCCTGTGGATCCCGAGACTGTAACTCTTGTGGACACAGACAGTCTCATCTTCCTCCTGCAGAGAGGCCAGCAGACCAGCGCTCCTGGAGACAAGATGGGTCACCAGCAGCTCTACTGGAGCCACCCTCGAAAATTCAGCCAGGGTTCCCGTTCTTGCCGCTCAAACCGGAAATACGGCCTCACTATGTGCCATCAGTGTTTCCGTCAGTACACGAAGGACATCGGCTTCATCAAGCTGGACTAAGTGATCTTTGGATGGACAATCCAAGACCACTACCCAACAGAAGAAGCAATGCCAACTATTTGTACATAAAATTAAAAAAATTCAGGCCTGAATTTTTGGCTGTATTAATTGGATCTTTGAAGCCTTGACAGCTTTTAATGTATAGAAAATAACCATGTCGCCCATGTGGCTTTTGAATTTTATATATAAAACAAAAGGGGGACTCGTGGGGGAAGGTCAGCTTTCAGACATCCTCCCTGGAGGCAGACTGCTGTCTCCCCACACCACAGGAGAGGGCCTGCTCCCTGCTGCTGGGGACAATAGACAGGCTCCTGTAGGTGGAGTTCACACCCTACTGATAATGGTCTCTATCAGTTGAGCCAGAAACAAGTCAAATAGGCTCTGTGAAGTCCAAAGTTAGGTTGCCATCCTGTATCTAGGACCCACCCATCTTGCTGCATGTAAACCCCCAATTCCTCCTCTTCCTATTGTGTGGTTAGCCCTAGATCACCCCCTCCCATTACTGTAATACCTATAGCACAACCCCTTCCTGTGACGTATGTCTTCACCTGTAATTAGGGGGCTTGCACGTCCCCAGAGAATATAAAAGCTTTGGGAGCATTAAAGATTCTTTCTCCCTCCACGTGGACCACCAAGCAGGGCTGAGGTGAGCATGCTACCATGAATTGTGTCTGACTCCATTTATTTCTACATTTATCTTGTATCTCTCAGGCCCTCTATAACTTTACTATAATCTTTACTTATTATCGGTGTACAATTGTGCCTACCGGACCCGTAATGATGTGCTAGGGGCTGGCTTCTCCTGGCATATGGCGCCGCTCACCCAGATAACCCCAGGGTTCTGGGCGGATTTGAGTTGCTAATCTTTTGGCATGCAGCTGAGTGGCTTCCCTGCTGAGTCAGCAGGGTTCCTTTTGTGATACCAGGCATCTTCACTGCCAACACTTTGATCCAGCTATCAGACACCCACACAAGGGTCGTAAACAATCAGTGTTGATGCCTCCCACACAAGGGTCGTAAACAATCTGTGTTGATGCCTCCGGCTGTCAGGCTGTCGTTAGACAGCCCAGGCTACCATAGTAAATGGAAGCAAGATTCCCCACCCACCCCCAGCCCTCCCAAGGTCAGAACAGCAGAGCCCAACAATACATTAAGAGGCCGAGTGTCCACCGCGGATAATTTATGCAAACAAATAGGCCAGTGGAAACCCGCAGTGAAATTAGCATCCTGGAGAAATAATCGTTCTCACAGTGGAAACCCGGCCGAGATTGTTTTGAGTCTCCTCATTTCATTAATGAGCTTTCTCCCACCGGTTCAGTGGCAAGAGCCACAAACGCGCACACGGAGGGTTGGGCCTGGGCCAGGTGGTCTGGGAAGAGCAGACAGTGCAGCGTGGGGGTCCAGAGGCAAGGTCCAAGGAGGGAGGCCGGCATCTATTCAGTCAGCGTGGCTGCTGTGTCCGCCTGTTCCGTTGTGCCGAGCCCACACTGTGAGGACTGCTAGATCAAGGACAGGGAGACTTGTCTCACACACTTGAGACGTGTTGTCAGGAGAGACCAGTCCCCGCAGAAGGACATCATGCTTGGTAAGGTAGAGGGGCAGTGAAAAAGAGGAAGGCCCTCGACTAGATGGATGGACACAGTGGCTGGGATATGGATGGACACCGTGGCTGGAAGATTGGTGGACACAGTGGCTGGGAGATGGATGGACAACATGGCTGGAGATGGATGGACACAGTGGCTGGGAAATGGATGGACACTGTGGCTGGAAGATTGGTGGACACAGTGGCTGGAAGATGGATGGGCACACAGGGGCTTGGAGATGGTTGGACACAGTGGCTGGGAGATAGATGGACACAATGGCTAGAGATGGATGGACATGGTAGCCGGGAGATGGATGGACCCTGTGGCCGGGAAATGGATAGACACTGTGGCTAGAAGACGGATGGACACACGGGCTGGGAGATGGATGGACACCATAGCTGGAGATGGATGGACACAGTGGCTGAGAGATGGATGGACACACAGTGGCTGGGAGATGGGTGGGCACAGTGGCCGGGAAATGGATAGACACTGTGGCTAGAAGATGGATGGACACACAGGGGCTGGGAGATGGATGGACACACAAGGGCTGGGAGATGGATGGACACACAGGGGCTGGGAGATGGATGGACACACAAGGGCTGGGAGATGGATGGACACACAGGGGCTGGGAGATGGATGGACACCATAGCTGGAGATGGATGGACACAGTGGCTGGGAGATGGATGGACATGGTGGCTGGGAGATGGATGAACACAATGGCTGGGAGATAGACACCATGGTTCGAGGTGGATGGACACCATGGCTGGGAGATGGATGGACATAGTGGCTGGGAGATGGGTGGGCACAGTGGCTGGAGATGGATGGACACAGTGGCTGGAAGACGGGTAGACACCCTGGTTGCTACAATGGGCTTCAGCAGAGGAACAAACATGAAGACGGCACCAGACACACCGGGCAGGGTTTGTCCTCTTGTGCAAGGGGATGTGCTGGATCGGGAGCCACTCACTGGTACCTGACAACAGCAACATGAATCGGTGACCTAACTTCAAAGGCAAGGGTGCAGTGACGGAAGGAGGTCTCCACGGGATCACAGGAACTGTTACAGCCCTTGGTTCTGTGGGGTGGTGGCCACGTGCACAGTGACGTGAACCGCTGCCTGGTCATCGGTGTGGATCCACGGCGTCCTCGTGGACTGATCATTTGGCAGGAGATCTCCAGTCCTTTCTTCCTGGTCTGCCTGAGTCTGAAAGCCACCCGAGAAACCTGTTGACCATCGGAGCCACCCACACGCCCCCACACGCTGGCTGGTAGGGCTGAAGGCTGGGACTTGAACCCCTGCACATGGGAGGGGAGAATTCTCCATCAGAACCAGCGATGGCCCTGAATGGAGGTTACTGAGCAGAAGAGCTGATTAACAAGGTCAGTGGTTCAAACCCACCAGCCACTCCAAGGGAAAAAGACGAGGCTGGCTGTTCCCGTAAAGAGCTACGGTCTCAGGAACCCACAGAGGCAGCAGTTCTGTGTCCTGAGGGGCTGCTATGGTCAGACCTGACCAGATGGCAGTGGGCTTCATTTCGGTTTTAGCGCTATAGTCATTGGTGGCGCCGTGGTTAAGCGCAAAGCTGCTAACCTACAGGTTGAGGTTGGCACTCACCTAGAGGCTCCGAGGGAGAAAGGCCTGACTATCTGCTCCTGTACTGATGGCTGTCTGGATCTAGCTGAGAAGCAACAAAGCCCACATGGAAGAAGCAAACCAGCCCATGTGATCACGAGGAGTCCATGGTATCAGGTATCAGACATCAAAGACCCAGAACAAAAAAACATATTGATGTGAATGAGGGGGAGTGTGGAGAGGAGACCCAAAGCCCACCTGTAGATAATTGGACATCTCCTTACAGAAGGGTCATAAGGAAGATACAAGCCAGTCGGGGTGCAGTATAGCACCATTGAATGAAACATACAACTTTCCTCTAGTTCTTTAATGCTTCCTCCCCACCTCCCCACTGTTATGACCCCAATGCTACCTTACAAATCCGGCTAGGAGAGCATGTACATGGGTACAGATAAGAGCTGGAAATAGGGAAGCCAGGACAGATAAACCCCTCAGTGCCAATAACGAGAGTAGAGATACCAAGAGGGTAGGGGGAAGGTGGGAGCAGAAAGGAGGAACCAATCACAATGATCTACATATAAACCTCCCCCAGGGGGATGAACAACAAAGAAATGGGTGAAGGGAGATACCGGACAGTGTAAGACATGAAAAAATAATAATAATTTATAAATTATCAAGAGTTGATGAAGGAGGGTGGGTGGGGAGGGAGGGGGGAAATGAGAAGCTGATACCAAGGGCTCAAGTAGAAAGAAAATCTTTTGAGAATGATGATGGCAACAAATGTGCTTGATACAATGGATGGATGGACGGATGGATTGTGATAAGAGCTGTAAGAGCCCTCAATAAAATGATTTATTAAAAAAAGATGGTGTCCTGGGCAACTCTCAGGGGCAGCTCTACCCCATCCCACGGGTCACCGTGAGTCAGTGAGCCCAACACCCACAGGCTTCGAGGTCTGTAAGGATGCATTGGGTGTCCTGAGTGGTTATGTTAGTTTTGCACACACCCTGAACACATCACGTCTCAGCAGCACGCCTGTTGAACCTGGTGGGGCAGTGATTAAACCCTCGGCTGCTAAATGAAAGGTGGAAGGGTCCCACCTATCCAGAGGCTCCAAGGGAGAGAGCCCTGGCCATTGGCTTCCATAAAGGTGGCGGCCCAGGCAGACCTCTGGGAAGTTCTGCTCCGTTGGGGCGCTGTGGGTCAGAGGTGGCTGGGCCTCACCCAGCCACCGTCAAGAATCCAGTATAGCATTTCCCACACAAGTCTGCTCGGGGGGACAGGGGTTGTGGGCTGTGTCCTCCCGAGTCTCCAGCAGCAGGCACTTTCCACAAATTTGTGAGTCAAAAATATCCCAGGAAATGAAGAGCAGAGAGGAACAGTCCACTGGACTGCATCCGATAGGCACGGAAACACACAGTTAAATGACTCTGAGATTGGGTTGGGGGGGCGGGGAGTGCTTGCCGTTCTAGGAAATGCTGAGTGTTTGCTGAAGATGGAAAGGGATTTGATTGTATTTGTAGACACAGGAGCTCAGCCTCTGATCCCCCACCCTCCTTTCCTCTCTTCCCCACTCCCCTCCCCTCTCCTCTCTCTCAAACCTTGCTTTTCCTATTTACAATCATGGCTTCCTACAATGCTTGTCCTTTTGTGACTGACTGACTTCACTCAGCGTCATGTTCCTGGGGTACTCAGCTCCTAACCACAAGATCTGTGGTTCAAACCCACCGGCCACTCCAAGGGAGCAAGATGAGGCTGTCTGCTCCCGTAAGATCCACAGCCCTGGGCACCCTCCGTAGGGTCACTGTGAGTTGGTATGGGCTGAAGGAGCCTGGTGGTGCTTGGTAACATGACGGGCCGCCACAGGAGAGATCAATGGCTCAAGGCCAGCAGCCAGTCCTGGGGGAGGACAAGGAGGCCGTCTGCTCCTGGACAGACTGACAGCCCATGAAGATGAGGGTCTAGGGTGCCCTGTGGGGCAGCTCCACTCATGGGGGCGCTGCTAGTCAGCAGCAGGCTTGGGTCTTAAACATGACCTCCAGAGTTCCAGCCACTCTACCCAAACACAGCAAGGGAGGAATGCAGTGAAACTGTTTGTGAATATCTGTTGGTTTTTTAATTGACTACCAATGAGTATACATTCAACAGAAAAAAGTGTGCTTCCTGGAAGTCACCAAGGAAGAACACGTGTGTCCCATCAGCCAGGACGGAGCCCATGGGCACTGTTAGCTGCAAGAGAAGCTGAGAAGCAGCAAGGGAGCATCACTCCCCTCTCAAGTTCAGCACTCCTAGTGACCCCACAGGACAGGCTAGAGCTGCCCCTGTGGGTTTCTGAGGTTCAGTCTTGACTGGAGCAGACAGCCTCATTGTTCTCCATGGGGTGTCTGGTGGGTTCAAACTCCTGAACTAGTGGTAAGCAGCCCAACCCATAACCCGATATACCATCAGGGCTCCTTCCCATTGAAATCACTCAAAGAGCTTCTGTGAGCGTTAGGTTTATTGTGCCAACGAGGCCAATAGGAATGTGTGGGCGGAACTTCATCAGGTGGAGGCGTGATCGGAGGGCAAAGAGATAAATGACTTTCCAAGGCCCACCGCCTTCTCTCTTCCTCCCTGATCAGACCAGCGCGCTGCTGCTTTAGCTAGTGCTCTGCCTCAACCTGCGAGCTACACTACCTGTGGGCCAAGCCAACCTGTGGATAGTGTTGCTAGAGCTTGAGGCTCCTGCCAGACCTGTTTTACCACCTCCTGGTGCGTACATCACTTGAGCTTGAGGCTGGCGGATCCAGTTGTCCAGCGTGCTTGAGTTTGAGATTTAATCAGGCCTGTCTGCTAAGCTTCCAAGCTACTGACTGTTGCTGACCCATCCTGTCTGCTGCCTTCAGGCTGACGCTGCCTGTCTCGCCTGAGGGAAAACTCCACGGTCTGCTTCCTTGACCTTGGACTGGCAGGCCGTGTGAGTTAAAGGGCTTTCAGTCTATTAACTGGTCCATGAACTTGAGTTGGAGTCTAGCCGGTCAATCAGGTCACAGCCTGATGGTGCCTCCTTGTGGACATGGCCTCCTCATAAGAAGGGCCCTGGGAACCCCCACCCCCTTCTCTCTCTGCCCGCACTTTCCTGCTGGTTGCTGCCAGCACCCTGGAGGTGTTACCACCACCATTGGACCCACACGACTTTGCACTGCCAACTTGTGGTCTTCCTGCATTCTGCATCATTGCACGTGGCTGCATGAGTCTGAAGGGGGACTTATGGACAGTATTGGACTTTCGGACTTGATTGATAAATAATTACTTCTTGATATAAAGCTCGTTCTTATACCAAAAAAGAGGAAGTAAGGTTAACTGAGCCCTCTGTACTGCTATGTGGACTAATTAGCTGATAACATCATAACTGTCCTGGTTTTATTTCTCTAGAGAACCCTGCCTAACACAGCTTGGCTTGAATGTTATATATATCATAACTGTCCTGGTTTTATTTCTCTAGAGAACCCTGCCTAACACAGCTTGGCTTGAATGTTGTATGTATATATATATATCATAACTGTCCTGGTTTTATTTCTCTAGAGAACCCTGCCTAACACAGATTGTCTTGAATGTTGTCAAGTTACACACTTGGCTGTTAATTTCAAGGTCGTTGGCTCAAACCCACCAGCTGCTCTGTGGGAAAAAGATGAGAGCAGTCTGTTTCATTAAAGATTGACTGCCCCCCCTTGGAGATCCTTGGCGCCACTCCACTCATCCCAAGTCAGAATCAACTCGACAGCTACGGGCTCAGTTTGGGATTTACACTCAGGGAAATCAAGGCACAAACTGAATACTGCAACAAGAAATACATATATTTAAAACAATATTCATTAGTTAGCAGTCACTGACAGTAAGAAACTAATACGACAGGTGGGATAGTTCAACACATTGTAGCACGTTCATCTTAAAACCATGCCTCCAAGGGTGCGTATTACAGGGGCACCGATCACGGTCAAGATGAACAGAGCAGAGTGCACAGGGATAGACACTAGGTCTTGGCTCTGAGTGCAGACAGGAAAGTTCTAGAAAACACACAAAGAGAACATATATGCATGGAAAATATCACCAGTGGCTACCTCTGGGTTATGAAATTATATCACAGCTTGTTTTATTTTCTTCACAGTTTCTGAGCTTTAAATATCTTTTTTCTTGTTTTAACAGTGAACATATATTACTCTCATAGTCAGAAAAATAGACATATAGAAACTATTGGGGGGGGGTCCGCCTAGTTTCTGATTTTAATTAGATGTCCCGTTTTGAAGAGAACGCCAGCAAAAGCTTTTTATTTTTCAATGCGGAAAGACACCCTGACAGCCCCTCCCCAGCCCCCCGGTGACGCGGCCTCGCCCTGAGTCATATGCCCTCTGTCCCCCTGCGTCTGTCCACCGGCTTCATCGGTGTAATGCCAGCTCGACTCGTGCATGAAACAGTCCGGGTCCTCACATGGCCGGGGAAGGAGACCCACTCCCCACCTCCAGGCCAGCATGATTGAGGTCAAGGACAGTAAAGGTGTCCCGGTGGTGTCACTGGCTAAGTGTTGGGTTGCTAACCACAGCCCGAGGTCAGTGGTTCAAACCCACGAACCGCTCCAAGGGGAGAAGGTGAGGCTGCCGTGTGCTCTCATACAGATGGGAGCAGTCTGCTTCAGCCACGAGGCACAGTTGTTGACACACAGTGGACTGCGTATATGGCTGGGATACAGCACGGGCTGAAGGAGCCTTTTGCTCCCATGGGGCCATTCCAAACACAACACCCTCCTTCGAGCTGCCTGCGCCGAGGGAGTAGCAAGAACACCAGCTGGGTCTCGGGAGGCCACCAAACCCACCTGCAGGTCCCCTCAGACCTTTGTAACCCATCGGGGTTCCCGAGAAACAACCAAACTCACTACCAGTGAGCCAATCAGCTCGTCACCTTAGAGCCCCCGGGGGCAGTTCTGCTCGGCACTACCAGGCAGAGGGGAAGACTCCAACAATGGCTCCGGAGACCAGAAATGGGCACGTCACTCTCTTGTCCCTGTCCCCTCTGGGAAAGCCACCCCGTCCCGAGGCAGATGCAGCATGGAATGACAGAGCCCTGGTGGTGTAGGGGGTCAGGCATTGGGCTGCTAATGGCAAGGTCTGCAGTTCAAACCCACCCACGGGAGAAAGACAAGGCTGTCTGCTCCCAGAAAGATTTCCAGCCTCGGAAAACCACAGGGGCAGCTCAACTCAGTCCTAACAGGGCTGCTGGGAGTAGTCGGGGCCGACCGGGCGGCGGTGGGTTTCAGTTCATAGTGGATTGAATCACATGGGAGCTGGCATGCACACGCCCAACCCGAGATCCACTGTGATTCAGCGGGTTGACAAGCTCTCTGCCTGTCCCCTCACCCACCTTGCCCCCCTCCACACTCGCCATCCTGCAGGCTGGGGTGGGAGTCTCCTGCGTGCAGGCCCTCTACAAGGGACCTAAAGGATCCCTGGGGGGGCACAATGGTTTGCACCCAGCGGCCACCTGAAAAGCTGGTGGAAGACAGGTCTGGCCACCTGCTGTTGTAACAAGTGCTGCTGCCAGGCACTGCAGAATCTATCCACCTAGCAGTAGCCCCAGAAGACCACGCACAGCTGCCCCGCAGGGTTTCCTGGACAGCCAGCCTTGCAGAGGTTGCCGGGCCTTTCTCCCGCAGATCTGCAGGCTGGGCTCCAAGTGCCAACGTGCAGCCAGCAGCCGCGTGTCTCCGTGCTGCAGCACCAGCGACCACAGCCAGGCAGCCCTGGGATCTGAGCTCTGCTCATTCCGCCAGGACTGCACTGCACTAGGCAGGGCTGGATGAGGTTGGGGTTTTAAAGGAACTTGGGGGCGCAGTGGGTCTAGCAGGGTCAGAGCATCAAACCCACCAGCCGCTCCGAGGGCGGTCTGTTCCAGTCAAGAGTCAAAGGCCTGGAAACCCACAGGGGCCGTCCTGCCCTGTCCTGCAGGCAGCTCACTGTGGTCTGCTTCGACTCGACAGCAGGGAGTGGGGGGTTTGCTTTTCAGGAGTCCTGGTGAGGATATGGGTTAGATGGTCAGCCAGTCATTACAAGGTCAGCGATTCAAACCCACCAGCCCCTCCTCCGTGGTGGGGTCTGGTTGGATCTGGATAGAAGAATACACCTGATCACCATGAACATGACTGAATGTTTTACGGGCACCTGCACGTGGTGGAGCAAAGGTTAAGCGCTAGGCTGCGAGTGGACTCGTTGGTGGCTTTATCCCATGCGCTGCGCTGCGCGAGAAAGGCACGTGCGCCTAAGGGGCGTGCATGCGGCTTGGAGGGGCGCGCGTGCGAGAGGTGGGGGGACGGGGACGGGGCGCATGCGCGGGGCGGGGGTGCGCACTATTTCCTGGAGTAGTAAAAAAGCAGGCAGAGGGAGAGGACGAAGGCGGACAGCAGGAAGGCGATGAAGGCCAGCAGGGCCTTCCGGCTCTGGGAGAGGCCGCACTCGGGGCACGCGTCGTCCAGCAGCCCCGGGCAGGGCGCCCCCAGCCCCCCGGGGCCCCCGAAGCCGCGCCGGCGGATGATCTCCCGGTAACGCTCCAGGGACGGCTTGGCCTCGAACTGGTTGGCGGCGTAGCGGTAGAAGCCGAACCTGGGCGCGCTGCGGTCACTCAGGGCGTAGGCGAAGTAGCCGCGAAGATCCACGCCGTCCAGGATGTGCGCTGCGCAGAGAGGGAAGGAGGGGGAGGGCGGGGGTCGCTGTGAAAACACGCGCAAATACACCATCCGCAGCCCAGCCCCTTCTCTGTGGGGAAATGGTCCCCACTGCCCAGCACAACTGCAGGGTACCTTGGACTTCATTTTGGCGGCGCAGTACTTCGCGCTGGGCGGCTAACCGAAGAATCGGTGGTTCAAACCCCCCAGCCGCCCGGTAGGAGAGAGACGAGGCTGCCGTACAGACGTACAGCCTCAGAAACCTATACCACGTGACTGGGGTCCACATCCACTCGATGGCCAGGGGGCTGGGTGGTACTGGCGGAACCCTGGTTAGTGCTGGGTTGCTAAAGCGAGGCAGGCAGGCAACCCCCGAGGCACAGGGAAGAAAGATCTGATGGAGTCTGCTTTAAATAAGGACCGCAGACCAGGAAAGCCAAACCAACCGCTGGCCACGGGGTCCACTCTGACTCAGAGCCACTCCCGGCCGGGCACCACGGCTGCATGTCTTTATGGGAACAGACTGACTTGCCGTTCTTCTGAGGAGCATCTGCTGGGCTTAAACCGCTAACCTTGCGGTAAGCAGGCCAGCGCTGACCCTGCAGGGCCACCGTGGCTCCTCCCAGTACCAATGACAGCCAAGCAGCACTGCTCTGTCACCCTGGGTCCCTGTGCATCTAAACTCGAAGGCGACTCACAGCAACCCCATAGGACAGGGCAGAACTGCCCCTGCGGGCTCCCAGACAGTCACTCTCTATGGGAGTGGGAGCCTCGGCTTTCACCCTAGCAGCAGCTGGTGGTTTCAAACTGCTGACCTTGCAGTGAGCAGCCCAGCAAGTCCCCTTCTGCACCATCAGGGGCTTCACAGCTGCCGCAGGTGTTGCAGACAGTGGGCCAGGGAAACACCACTCCTCCCCAGAAGGCTCGGGGTGCCTCGGAAGAGAGGGCTGGTGATCTCCCATAAAGCCAGCCCCGCCCACTGAAAGCCCCAGGCAGCCCAGTTCCACACTGACTGTCAGGGGCAGCCATGAGTGGGGACAGCCCACCCGCCCTGGCGCCCCAGGACGTAAGGCTGCAAAGGCCCCTGTTGCGGGGTCTACCTTTTAGCGCCTCGTTGATGTAGTGGTGGATGTAGT